TCACAAGCAGTTACTCAGTATAGGTGTTCTTGGCCTTCTGCCTTCCTCCTTGGTGGTGCTTACAGTCTTTATGTTGGGCTGTGCCTGTCACTGTTACTGGGGCAGTTCTGCCTTCCACTTACTTTAGAAATGAAAGCTTTATCCAACTCTGGCAGCTCTGCACAGCCTTCCCTGGAATCCTGTCAGTCCCAGCACATGGCTCTGCTCAGGGCACAGTTCTTGAATGGGACAAAGCTTCGGTGGTGCATCTTCACCTGACATTGCTCTTTTATCTCTTCCTGGGGTAGCTTCTTGCTGAAATAACCATTTGTGGATTAAAAACCACCACCACAGTATCAGACAGGACTTCTGTACCTGTTCTATCTTTAAATACCTGTAGTAGCTCTTGTTCCAGTGCCAGTGAGCTGTTGATCAGTGTTCCACACAGAGAGCCTGAGATTAATCTTGAGTCCAACAAAGCTGTCTCCAGAGTTGTGTGGCATCTGAAAGGTGCTGCTGAGAAACACAAGGTGTCTCACTTTCCAAATACAGTGAAGGGGAGATGCTGATACCTGAAAGGCTGAATGTGATCCACAGAGAGAGAAATCCCTTCTTGCTTAGCTATGGGAAGAGAACTTCTTTAAGTCACACTAGGGGGATTTATTACTGAGTCGCTGAAGGGGTGGAGGCTTTGGATTCTGGCACTGCCTGTCCTGAGTCTTGTTGTCTTGGCCTGTCAAGACAGTCTGTTGTTAATGTCATAAGTTATGAAAAACAGACTGAAATAAGTTTGGCATTGCTTAGTCCTTACAATGCAAGAGTAAGAGATTTTATGAATCTTCCTTTTTTAGGCCAATGTGATGCTTGAATATGATATTGATGAAGCTCAGGCTCTGTTAGAGAAGAATTTGTCAACAGCCACAAAAAACCTCGATCTTCTAGAGGAAGACCTGGATTTTCTCAGAGATCAGTTCACCACTACAGAAGTCAGTATCCTTTTTGTTCCTCGGTGGGGGAGGAGGTGTATGTGAAAGCCAACAGGTAACAACCAATTTCCTGATGTGTCTTTATCCTAGACTGGCTGTCCTTAAAATTCTGTAGCATCTGTGAACTTCACCTGTTCTAGCAGTGCAGTGGAATGTTGTGTTTGCAGGACTGAGCTGAGGGTCGGTGTGTTGGAGGTAGCAAAGCTTGTGTTTGTGTCCCCATGAAACCTCCTGTGGTGGTTGCAACCCAGAGGGGCTCTAGGGTGAGTTAGAAGTGTTTCTCTTTTCTGCTTGCATGAGCTGTTTCCTTAATTCCACACCCTCAGATATGGCTAGAGTTTATAATTGGGACGTAAAGAGAAGAAACAAGCAGGACCCTTCCAAAAACAAAGCATAGTTTTGCCAATTTTAAATGTGGTATCAATTTCCAAATATTTTTTATTTAAACACCCCCAAACTTCATTCAGGACTGAGTTACTTTCAGCATTTCGGTAAATGGTAAAATATATAAAAACTAATGGTGAGCACCATTTTATTTATTTGTAAACTCAAAATTTGGTTTCATGCATGCTTCATGAAAAGATTTGAAAAGGCACCACATAGTCCAGCAAAGGACATAGTATTTTGATCAGACCAGTCTGTCATAAATAAATTTCTACCTGAAAGCCTGTCTGAAAAGCTGAGGGGCATGTGTGAAATGGAACCTGACATTTTAGTGGGTTGAGGCTTTGCAGGGTTTTCATCTCTGTGTACAGCTGATGGAGTTGTTAACTTTGACTTGGGCTGGGAAGACGTGCAGCTGTAACATTCTGGGAAACAGAACCAATAGAGTGGAGTCTTGGATTTTGTTTCAGTGAGGTGATGGGCAGCATCAGTCTGCAAAGCATTCCTGGATATCCACTTTGGATAAACTTGTTTGTAGTAATTATGGGTTAGCTAACTGCCTGTTACTGAGCCCTCAGCACTTTGCACACAGCAGTTTGTGATTTGTCCTCAGCAGTGGTAAATGGAGTGAGCGGCACAAGCCACGTGGAGCCCGCAGGAGCTCTCACCCCCTTCCTCCTCATACACGTGCACACGTTGCTTATTTTGGCAAACGCGTTGAACAAGGACACCCCGACACCGAGAGCCTGTGAGAGCCCCCATTTCCAACCCCTTAGCCCAGGTGTCCAGTTCCAATGTCTGAGCACTCTCATCCTCCCAGGTGGGAGCCTGTGTGTTATCAGGGTGCCCGACTGGAACGTGACCTCTGGTGTTACTGTTGGGAGTATTTTCCTGGTCCTTCCGAAGCCTTGCGAGATTGTTGCCTTTTACCTCTGCAGTTTCTTTCTAAAACAAAATGCTCAGTGGTGATGTCAGTGGCTAATATTCACATTCTGTGACTGAGAGTACAGGTTTCACTGCAAAATAAATGCAAATGTTAACTGTTTGATCTTCATGTAAGAAACAATATACCTGTAAATTTTTTGTACTTTTATTTCATTATATTAAAATAGTAAAACTAAACAGTTGTGGCAAACAGCTGTTTTTGTGCATCTTTCTTTGTGTGAGAGTCATGAATCTGATGTGTGATCTTTTATAATGTTTCCCTCCCTTAATTGGGGAAAGGGGAGGGAGGTGAAAAATTCCGTGTAAGCAGCAGACGTGTGGCTGCTGGATCCTGGCGTGAATGAAAGGGGGGACTGTGAGTCAGCACATCTGAACTGGGGACTGAAAGCAAGTGATTTACCAGCACTCTTCCTGTCAAAGAGCTGCAGGGAAGGGCCCAGAGCAAGTAAACCCTTAGCAGTGTCACCAGTAAGTACCTGGGCTGTGCTTCTCTGTACCTTCCCCCAGGGCGATGCTGTTTCAGTGTCTGTGGCTGCAGCAGAGCAATGTGGAGCTCTAATGGATTCTCCAACAGGCACCTCCTATGGCAGGCAGGATGTGGGGCTGGTCAGGCTGCTGCTTCCCTTTTTTTTATTTGAGCAACAGCAGTGATGGAAAGGCAGCTGCAAACACGTCCCGATTTCTCTTAAAATTTTCAGTTTGGATTAATGAGCTCCCAGCAGGCTGAAGCGTATTCCCCGCCTCGGGCTGGTCCTAAGGCAGCAATTGCCTGCCTTTGTTGTGCACAACAAAATGACCAGTTAAGCATTTTTGCACAGCAAAAGCAGCAGTGAGCAAAATCAGCTCTGCCACTGCCAGGGACCTACTGCTGCATGTAGGGGGGGACTGGGTGACAGCCTTGGAGCTGAAATTGCTCCTGTGTTCAAAGGTGTCTGGCTGCAGGGGAATGGGAGATGGCTGTGGCCATCACAGCTCAGATTTTAGAGGTTTTGTGTCTGATGTGAAGTAGAAGATCAGCCTTTCTCCAGGTGTGCTCTGGCCTGTGCTGCTGAGTCTTTGCTTCTCTGTGCAGGAGCAGCAGGTCAGTTGGCAGGAGCTGCTGTAGCTGCTGCTGCTGACAGAGGCCTCCTGCAGGGCCAAGTTTGGCTGCAGCTGCAGGGAGCAGGGGCTGTCCGGGGAGTGTTTCAGCATAGCTGGGCTGTCTTTTCTCAGCGAGGCAGAGGGCTGGCTCTGCAGAGCCAAGCAGGGCCTGCAGAGAACAGTGAACAGCAGCCGTGAGGCACTGCCTGGGTATGGAGGTACCGAGCGGGACAGGGAGCAGCAGCTCACTCAGAGAGAACGGCAGGGAGGGGGGGAAGGAAAAAAAAAAAAAACCACCAAAGTTTCTTTACAAGTTTTGAATTTCACATTATCACGTAGTAACCATTTTGCTAAATACAAGCATGTTTTCAGTCACAGACAGACAGCTAAATACAGCGTTATTTTCACATTTCGTTACAGTGCATAACAAAGCGAGGACAGTGGATAGTACGCTTTTATTCTGGAGGTTCTGAGCAAGTTCAGTCTAACATGCAGATTGTTTTTAACGTGTGGAAGAGACCACAGAAAGTTAGCTTTTTTTTTTTTTTTTTTTCTCTTTTTGTCCTAGAGTATAAGAGCTCCTGACCTTTATCCTGTGAAAGGTATCACCTTCTGATTTCTCGAAGTCCCTCTAAGTCAAAGCATTAAAACCAGTTGTTAGAAAAGAATTCTTAGCATATCCTATAAGTTCTTCATCTTAGAAAAAACATTCCAAATTTTGTACAGATGAATCTACATTTCCTATATTTTAATAAGCTGTCTAGAAAATGCAAGGAATTAGAAAAAGATGTAGATAATGATTTCTCTATCATTTAATATAACAATTTATTACCTCTAAGTAGTTAAGACTGTGTACATTTTCTTCTGTACTGTTCCTCTTTAGAATTGTGACACTTCTGTTTTTAAATTGAAGGTTTACTCTGAAGGCCTGAATGCACTTTACTGGCTTAGGCTTTCTGGAATTTCTCCCTGGGAGCAGTAAAGGGGAACGTCCAAAACCCATTAAATAAAATACTGGCTGTCTCATGAAGAGTGATCTTTCCCCTCTGGCCAGGTTCTCACACAGGGAATTAGAGAATTTTACTATTGCTAAAATGTCATTTGATCCAACTCCTGACTGATCCAGCTCCTTCCTGCCCCTCATGTCACACACCAGCTCTGCCCCTGGGGCTGTTGCAACCCTTGGCCAGGCACCCCAAAACACACCTCATGAGCAGCTGGCTTCTGAAAAGCCCAAGTGGCTGCTTGGTGGGCTTTCCATGAAGAAAATGACCCTTTGGTAGGTGTCTGTCCTTTCTCTTGTGAAAATGCAACTGACTGACCTGGTCTGAGCAAACCCAACGCTCTGCCCGGGCGTCAGCCAAGCTCCTGCAGCGCTCCCTGCATCCGTCCTCTCCAGCTCTGCTCACCTACAAACAGATTTTCTAACGGGATTTTCTTTTTTTTTTTTTTTGTTAATCTTCAGGGAACTCAACTCGACCACAAGTGACTGTGCCTGGCATTCACTGGGCTTTAACAGGAGATGTTTGATATGTTCACAGCCTATTCAAGCAGTGACAAGCTCACTGAAAAGCACCAGGCCACTCCTACCCCCTCCCCTCCTTGCATTTGCTCCCTGTACCCTCCCAGAAGGTTCCTCCCCAGGAACTGAAATTGTTCCTTGAACACTGAAAATAAAAGTGTTCAGGGTTTGGGTTGTTGGGTTGGGTTTGGGTTTTTTCAGCTTCAGTACAGAAACCACAGGTTTTTTAGTCAAGACGGACCCGTCCATGTGCTGCTGCAAACTGTGAGAACAAGTTCAAAGGCAGAAACAATCTGAACTCAACAGCAATCAAGACCCACACTTCTATAGATGGGCTAAATTAAAAAGCTGGAATAAGTATTTCATTCTTCTCTACTCAGAGGCCTAAAATCAAACACTAGATGCTTCCTGTGGTTTTTACCTAACCCCCTCCTCTTGGCCACTGCAGTTTGGTGTATAAAGCTTGCAAACACAAGTAAAAAAGTCACTACAGTTTTGTTTGTTTGCTCAATAGGCTGAACTTTCCCTAGTTTGCTACAGGAGCACAGTCACCCTGCTGCACTTCAAAAGCTTGAGCTAAAACTTGGCCGAAGCAAAGCTTCTAAGTGGTGAATGGCATTCCCAGAAAACATCCTCCTTCATCCAGCTTTTGTAACGTGGCTGCCATCCCAGGATGGCCAACCTGAGATAGATAGATCCTCTTTTGTCAAACTAAAACGTGGAGGAAAACAAATTTTACTCTTGAGCATGTTTGTGGCTTTCTTTTCCACCTGCTCAGACACTCCTGCTGTGTGTTCTGCCTTCCCAGTGCCAGTTCTCTTCCACAGAGGCCAAAAAAGAAAATGACACTTCAACAGCAGAAAGTGCAGATGGAAGCTGTTGCTTGCCATGCTATTTGACTTCTTTAAAAGCATATCTCACCTTTTAGAATGTCTGATGCACCTGAGTTAAGCTTTTCAAGTTTTTTATTTTGTTGGGTTTGTTTTCTTTCCTCCCTCCTTCCCATTCCTCCCTGTGACCTGGTCAGCACAGAGCTGTCAGCAAGACAGAAACATTGGTGTGTCCCACCCCAGGCTGCAATGCCCTGGCCTTAAGATCCAACACCTGAGGACATGGTTCTCTCTTTATGCTCTTGATCACTTAATTCTACTGGAAAGCCCTGAATCTGGGTACTTTCAAGGTACTCACCCAGGCAGTAAATGCGTAAAAAAATGCACTGAATAATCACTACAGCAGCAGGAGTTGTCACTTAGGTTCCTGGTTCAGCACAGCAAGAAAAGCACTATTGAGGAGGGGGATAATTTAAATTTAAATAACCAATCACATAACTACAGTGTTCCTTTATTAAATCCCACAGAATATTCTTTGCTATCGAACTAGGCTCAAGAACATAAGAAAGGAAACTCAGATGTGTGCATACCATGTCAGTAAACTTTGCCTGTGGAACTGACCTTATGAGGAAATGGTATCTGCCTTTACACCTTCCTGGTGGTAATAAACAGCTGACACAAACAAAGATGTCCTCTCGCCTTCTCTCGTTCTGCCTATTTGTCATACTACCAAAGTATCCATCCTGTGGCTTCAGCACCCAACAGGGAGCTACGGATTTACTAAAAAGAGGACATTTACAGTACCCTGGCATGTGCTAGCCCATTCAGCTCTCTGTATACTCTCTCCTGTCTTGTGCAGCCCTTCATTTCTGCCTCCTGTCTCCTTACAACATCTACATGCACCCTCCACTCACTCTGCTTCAGGTTTATAGCCCCCAGTTCTGAAAGGTTATTTGGAACAGAACATTTCTTTCCGGGCTCTGTTCTGGTGTCCAAAACAATGTGGGAGGCTGTTCCCAACGGGAGTGTTGCTCTCCCCTCTGTCACACCGAGTTCGCTTAGTAAAGTACGTTTGGTTAGTAGAGTTCATCACCACTCGCCTCACTAGAGGAGCTCAGCACAAGCACCGCCTATCTGACTTCACCACTTCTTCTGAGGAGTGCACTACGTTTGGGACAAACCCGCTCTTTACCCCTTCCCATCCCTCCTGGATTGAAATGTCCCCCCTTTTAACCAGCTCGTAAATGTCCCGAGTCAGGTCAGTGAAGGCCTTCTCCACGTTAATGGCATCCCGAGCGGAGGTCTCAATGTACTTCATACCATAAGCAGCTGCCAGTTTCTCCGCCTCGTGCCGGGTCACTTGCCGCTGCGTGTCGAGGTCACACTTGTGACCCACCAAAACAAAGACAATCTGGTAGGGCTGGACGTGCACCTTGGTCTCCTCCAGCCACTCGTGGACGTTCTGGAAGGACCTGCGGTTTGTAATGTCAAAGAGGAGGAGTCCTCCCACCGAGTTCCTGTAGTAGGCTCTGGTGATGGACCTGCAAAGGAAGGAGCCACAGCAAAGCGTTAAGTTACCACTCTCTGAACATCTGTCCTTCAAGAAAGCAGCATTACCACCACCCTGTCTACCCTGCAGATCACCAGGCAGAGAATGCCGTTCAGGCAATGCCTTAGCACTTTTTAGCTTGTGCTCTGTAGAGCTTGTCATTCAAAGAGACAATTTATCTTGGCTCTAAGATTTCACCCTTGGGTAACTGTCCCACTGATTCATTGCAGCTCAGTTCAAAATCTCACCACTTCTGGTCTCTTTTCTCTCACAGATCTCTGTATGGCCTTGGCTGTTGGGCTGAAGAGTCCCATCCACTGCCATGTAAGTTCTCTGAATACCTCAGCTACCCCACTGCTTTAGAAGCACTGCGACAAATTAAAGGATTCAACTGAAACCAAACACCCGCTGTCTGACATACATAAAAGCAAGAAGTCAGAGATTTGGAAGGCAGACCATGGGGTTGTAGCTCCCCTCCACACTCCCAGGGCCAAGGCAGAGGGACATCCACCCATCCCTACACTTTCTCACACTACACCACTGGTCAAAGCTACAATGCAGTGACAGGACACTGTTACTGGCACTGGCACTGACAGGAGCAGCCCGTCTGACCCCCGCCAAAAACCAGCAAAATGATACAACAGCTTCCAAGGGGAACCTGCACCACCACTGGTCGTGTTCCTGGCAAATACTGACAACATTTAACAGTCACCAGAAAGACCCAGGAACTGTGGGCTGAGAAATGGAGTCCATCTCCCACAGCTCCTCCGAGCAGGGCCAGCCCAACACAGCCAGGAGCAGGGAATCAGCAAGCACAGGGAATCACGGGCGAGGGAGCGAAGCCGAGGCCACGAGCCTGAGCAGAGCTACAGTTCGACTACTACACGTGGAAAACCAAGAAGCTGAAAAACGGTGGTGTTTCTGCAAAGTCATGGATTCCATCTAAATCCAGAAGCAGTGATCGATTTCAGTCCCTGGAGGAATTGACACTCAGGCCTGAACTTTCCTTGCTGGAGAAATGTAGGCACTGCTGCATTTTTACCTTGCGACAAGTCCTTTTTTTTTGGCCATGCAAGAGTGTTGTTACCGGTTATTTGGTCCTGTAGTGTTTATATCTGCCAAAGTGGCCCCAAGAAAGGATGAACTGGAGTTTTGCAGAATTGTTTTATCAACAGACATGCAGTAATGGGTGAAAATTCACAGGCAAAACTGAAGTGAGCCAGAAGCAGGGGAAAAACCATAGTTGGCTGCGTTTGGATAATCTGTCCTCTCCAATTGTCTGGCTGAGGGACAACAGTCACTCTGCACATTTGGCACTGAGGGAATTAGATCTGCCTTTTGCTATCTAGCCAGCTGCAAACAGATATTGGCGCTTTGAATTCACCCCCACACTGTCAAAGGCATTTCTGCCTCTCCCTTGTGTTCCATGCCATCAGCCCTGGCTCCTCTGCCAGCATCAACAATGCCTCAGGTACTTCTGAAAGACATGACAGGATCTAAGCTGAATGCTGCTTCGAGGTAAAACTAGGTGAAGGTCTCAGTGCCTTTTCTTAAAACATTTCCCACAGTTTTCCTTACTGAAGCAAAGTATATTGCCTGCTTGCTGCACATCCCTCCCAAATTCCCTTCCAAGACTTCTATCTTTCCCCCTCCTGCCGTGCTCACATGCTGGTGCAGAGCAGTACAGGGATTTGCACCTATTTTGGTAAATATTAACATAAAGGTGCTGTCTCTGTCTGGGAACTCTCCCCTCGTTTGTACCCATGGTGGCGACTCGTACCCAGGTCTGTTTGTTGGAGTACTTGCCTCTCTAGCCAAGGGAGAGCTGCTGGCTGGAAGGAAATAGCTCTTCTGTAGGTGGTGGGACACAGCTCCAGGGAGCGAGAGCTGCACATGCTTTTGGTTTTGCTAGCATTACACAACATCACGTTTCAGGCACGCAAATCACAGTATCTGAGCAACCAGAGAGATGGGCAAACCCTGCTAAACCCAGGAAGAACTGGACCCTGCTCTTCTACAGCTCCAAGGAAGCCTCAGTGCTGCCCCAGGCAGGATGTTTTGGGGCTGGTGTGGCAAAATAGACTGGCACATGCTTAACTGTAGCTTAAGCCTTGACTGCATGGAAATTGCTTCTAATTTATGGAGAGTGAAAGAGCTCACAGCAGGGGGTCAGGAAGAGCAGAAATGTAGCACAGCTGCCTCTCAGGGAATGCCAAGGTGTCTTCAAAATAACTACAGTGGTTTTGTCCTCGTGGGGCAGCTGTTACACTATGCAAAGCAAGCTAGAAGTGCTCAAATCAGAGAACTCTGTGAAAAAGTGGAGCTCATTCTTACGGATTCCCTTCTCAAGAAATTCCCTGTGGGAAAGTTTAAGGGTTCTGGAGAGCACCTGCTCCATGGTGCTTCTTGCTTATAACCACAAGTCCAAGGGGCTTTGGCTTATTCCAGTAATAGCTAAATCTTGTCTTTGGCCAAGAAACACACCTTGCAGGAGGAGACCAAGAGCTGTTGTCCTCATGGGACAATTTACCCCAGGGCTAATGGTGATTTGAGAGGGTCAAACACAAACCAGACTTTTTGCCTGACTTTTTTCATATTTCAGAGTGCACCATAAAGGCACCTGTGTTTGCTCATTTCCCTGCAGCTTTTCACACCGGGAATCTCAGCCTGCACTTTGGCAAGGGCGTTTCAAAGTTGCACTATGGGGGTTTTTTTATGCCATTGACCATTCCTGCCCCTTGCACTCTCCCTGCCTTTGCTCGCTGCTGCCCATCGCAGCAGTGCAGCTGCCCTTGTGCTGAAGGTCGCCTGCTCATCATGCTGACAACCCGAGTGCCAGGCCGGGTCAGCCCCCAGCACCGAGGGTAAGCAGCCCCCAGGGCCCCCAACTTCCTAATGTGTAAAAGAAAGGAAATCGAAGCCATCCGACAGCTCTCACTCTTCACAGCAAGGGCAGAAACAGGCAACAGCACCCAGGTGTGTTTCCTACAGACCTCAGCACAAGATCCAAAGCTGGAAGCTGATGCAACTGCAAGCTAAAGCACCTCCTCTCTCGGCAGAATAAAGCACCAGCTCCTCACCCTCAAGGCTGCAAGGTAGCAGAGGAAAAACCTGTCAGTGGGTAAGGACCAGCTACTGCACATCCTGGGCCAGGTGCCAGCGCCACAGATGCGAGGGAAGGTGGTGAGAGGGGTGAGGGTAGAGGAGGTTTCATCTACTGAATGAAACCAAAACATTCCTCAGGCAAGTCATTACAGAGCACAGAAGTAGAAGCTCTATGAAGCTGCACAGGGATGTGGAGCACAGAAAGTGCTCCCGAAGGGAACAGGATGAAAGAGCGGATGAGGGTTAAAGACGCATGAAAAATATAAGCCAACAGGAGGCCAGGAGCTGCGGGTACACTCACAGCCCTCCCAAATGAGCACTGTCTGAGCAGCGTGTGTCACACAGCACCAGCCCCTCTTCAGCTGGGGCCGAGCCTGCTCCAACCATGGCTGCTGTTTTTATCCCACAGTTCTGTGGGAAACTTGGCACGGTCCCACATGCTGCCTTTATTTTTCCTCATCGAGATTTTGTTACTGCTGCTTAACCTCCCAAATTGCCTGCGCCCGTGCAGCGCTCGGCGTGGCACTCTCCAGAAAGCACCTGTCATCCCTGCACAGCCACAGCCAAGGGTTTGTCCCGACCTTTCTCTGTCCTATGGAGAGCTGAGCTCTGCTGTCGCTGCAGAGCATCAAACCACACATTCCACTGCGTTTAGCGAGCATCAGCTGAAGTGTTCGGCTGTGAAACATCCTGGTCACTGCCTCCGCACCGGCGAGGAGCAGGCGCCTTCCCTGCCGGCTGCATCCGCCGATGCGCGGACACCTCCTGGCTGGTGAAACGCGGCCCCAGCGCTGCCCTGGGCCTCGTCCCCCTCCCCAGCGACATCCACACCTGCGCATCCCGCACACCTGTGCATCCCGCGCCTGGCCATTTGGAGTGGACACGGATCCCAGGGACACACGAAACGGGGGACAGGGGGGGGCACAAAAGGTGCCAATTTGACTCCGTCTCATTCCCAAACGCCTCTCCCAGTTGCGCTTCCCCCCCCTCCTCGTTCCCCCCCGCCCAGGCCAGGCCCGGCCCGCAGCCCCCGGCCCCGGCCCCGCGGGTCTTACCGGAACCGCTCCTGCCCGGCCGTGTCCCAGATCTGCAGCTTGATCCTCTTGCCAGGCTCGATCTCCACCAGCCTGGAGAAGAAATCCACGCCCACGGTGGGGTCGGAGATCTGGGCGAAGCGCCCCTCGGTGAAGCGGCGGATGAGGCAGGACTTGCCCACGGTGGAGTCGCCGATGACGATCAGGCGGAACTGGTACAGCCAGATCGCCTCCATCCTGCAGCCGCCGGCCCCTCAGCGCCCGCCCGCCGCCGCACCGCCCATGCCCGGCCCGCGGGCCCGGGGGCGGCCGCGGCCGCGCCGCTCAGGCGGGGCCCATGGCGGGCGGCGCTGGCCCGGCCCGGCTCCCGCGGCCCCGTCACCACCGGCGCATCCCCCCGAGCCCGGGCTCCGCCGCCTCAGCGCTGCGAGCACCGCGGGGCCCTCCCGGCAGCGGCGCTGGGGCCCGGCCGCGGGTCGCTCCCGTCGCTGCCGCGGAGCCCGCGCTCGCCCCGCCGCTCGCCGCCGGTGCCGGGGTGGGGGGTGAGGGATGCGGGGCGCGCTGCGATGCAATGGCGGCCGCGCTGTTACCGCACTGCCGGGAGGAGCCGCCACCCTCGGAACGCGGCGGTGCGGGAGCCGCGCGGGGGCGGGGCGGGGCGGGACCGTGCGGGGCGGCGGGGGCGGCCGGGGGACCAGGAGAGAAGGGATGCCCGGTGGCTGCGGGGGACCAGGAGAGAAGGGATGCCCGCTGACTGGGGGACCAGAAGGGAAGGGATGCCCAGTGGCTGCGGGGGACCAGAAGGGAAGGGATGCCCGGTGGCTGTGGGGTCCGCGGGCCCGAGGAGAGCTGTGCTGAGCCCAGGGCCGGGGGAGCTGCGAGCTGGCGGACCCCCAAGCGAAGGGGCGCAGGCCAAGGCTCACCTTCCTCAGCGCTTCCCCGAGGACAGGGGTGCACAACACCCTTCTGTGTTTTAAAACCGAGTTTCGTTTCTGGAGAGTTTCAGGTTTCTCACTCCTTCGTTCCCATTGAAATTTACCGGAGGAGCCCAAGTGCTCCTGGAACTTCTGGAGAGCCTCTGCACCGCCCCAGGACCACCTGCACTGGGAGAGCCTGATTTGGAAAGGGACAGTGGTAAAAGGAAGGCATCTTACTCATGAAACCCAGCATATCCACATGCACACACATACGTTTGTGTCTGTATATATATTTATCTATAGTGTGTATATATGATGTGCATACAGCCTCAAAAATTAATGATTACAGCCAATAAATACCCAGCAACTTAAATACCACAAACCTTTAACCCATATTCCCTTTGCTCAAATGGTATCTTGGCTCCACAGTGTGAAGCACAGTGTTCAGGAACCCGAGTGGCAGGGAATGTCCCACAGTGTTCCCACAGATACCTTGGACTGTAAGCCCCAGTTTTGACCAGGCTGTCCCACACGGGCAGTGTCACACATTGCCACGGCAGCACACGGCCACTCTCACCTGGGACACGTGGGACACGGCTGAGTTTGAGTGCCTACTTGTTCAGCACTTGCCAGAGAAGAGTTTTGATCTCTGGAAGGGAAAATGAACATGTATATGATTAAAAATAGTGACTAAAATGTGTGTATTCAGACAAGCATAAAAAAAAGGAGGAATATATTTTTAAAATTTATGAATGCGTTGGTGTTTTCTTTAAATAAAGATGGTTTCATTAAGAGCTCCTGCTGCATGACCACTGTTAAAATAAACATATCCACAGTAGCTATTATATTCAGTAGATCCTCAGAAAAAGAATATTTATATAGGTGCAAGATAGTTAGCCACCTTGCAAATTGGACTAGGACATTAGACAGACCATTTCCAGTCTTGAGGAATAAATGGCAAGGAACTTTTTCAATATCCTCTGAAATATAATCTATTTATTAAAAAATAATAACCCCAAAAGATCCTATTTTAATGTACCTTGAGACAGGAAAGAAAACAGATGAAGCAATCTGCACAGCAACAGAAAGAGTGCAACAGAAAAATATTAAACCTATAAATCCAGGTTAGCGGTACATTAACCAGTGACTCATTGCCAGCGAGGCTTTGTGGGGATCTGGTGCACTTTACCGAGTGATTTCTGAGTACTTGATGCCCATTAGTTGAAGCCCACAACAGATTGTGGTTTCTCTTCACTGTCTCTCTCTCCTCCCCGTGTACTCTCACACACAGTTGCCCCACTCCCTTTCTTCCACGGGTCTGATGTGCTCAAGCACGAGGCACTCCATAGCAGCCTGTGAGTCACCCGCCAGCGGCATCTCCAGGAGCATCTCACGGCACAGGTGCCTGTGGACATTTCCCGGCAGCGGCGTGAGCAGCCGGAGCACCCTGACTTGCAGGGCTGTGCGGAGCTGAGGAGACCACCCAAGGGTGTGCTGGTGCCCAGCAGATCCTGTTGTAGCTGGAGGAATTCCTAGAGCACCAGGGACTTGCCTTTCCCAGCCAGCGAACCCACAGGATCCCGTGATGCAGATATTATGTTCATCTTCTCTGAGCACATGCACAGAGATGAACACCCGCCGCGTGACTCGGCAGCCACGGTACTAATTAGCAGGAGCGAGAAGGCAGGAGCAAATGAGATCCTGGGAGAGCCTTTGTGCTGGTACCATTTTAGGAAATGAAAGATCTGGTGTCTGAGAGACAGTAACCTAGATTTGATGCAGAAGCAGGTTTGTTGGCTGAGGACAGGACGGCAGGTGCCAGTGAGGTGCTGTGGGAGTGGGCGCGCTGATGGCAACACTCGGAGCAGCCTCCTGGGCTGTCGGCAGCCCCAAACTAAAGGCAAGAAACCTTTCAGTGCTCCTTCCCGTGGGCCTGGGGGCAATTCCAGAGAAACCCTTTTGTCCTCAGAGCTGCTAGTGAGACCTACCTGAGCACAGGTGAGGGCACAGCTGAACTCGGAGCTCTTGCATTTGCTGGCAGCACCTGTGGGACTCCACAAACAGGGTCCAGCCCAGCAGCCAGTGCTGCCTTGGGAGGCCCAGGGGAACTCTCATGCAGGCAGCACTGCCCTACAGCCTGCACAGCCAGACATGGGTTAAAGCCCTGCACAAGAGCACTGTGCACACCTCTGCATGCAGCTCCTGCACAAGGTGACAAACATCCACACATCAGCCACTGGAGCAGGTATTTCTTATTTAGTAAATTTATTTTAAGGCAGAAAAGCTCAGACAAAATGGGGTAAGGGCTGGAGAATTACTCCTTTTCTACCCTGTGCTGCCTGTACTCTCTATCCCAGAGCGATTATGTTAACTCCCTTTTGGCATTAGATGATGAAGCCCTAACGAGATACTTGGGCTTTTGTAAGCCCAGTTCCTCGGGCTGGTGGGTGGTGATTGCTGTGCATGCTCCAAAGGCAGGAATCCCACCTTAAGGGCCTGGTACTGGCCTCAGCAGTCCCGATAGCTGGGGTGGGATGGTCTCGAGGCAGGCAGCTCCTCTTGGGCAGGAGCTCTCTGCTGTGAGAAACAAAACAGAGAAGGTACTGAACCATGGTTCGGGGTGTCTTGGAGCCAGACACCCCCCTGGACCCCATGACTAATGTGCAGAGGTACTTCATAGAATCATGGAATGATTTGGAAGGGACCTTAAAGTTCATGCAGTTCCAAACCTCCTGCCATGTGCAGGGACACCTTCTACTAAACCAAGTTGCTCAAAGCCCCATCCAACCTAGCCTTGGTTCAATTCCCCCTAAATAGACAGTAGACCCTCTAAACAGTTTGCCATTCAGTCGTAGCTTCATTTCTCTCCTCAGCCAGCCAGTACCCTTTGCACACCAGCAGCTGGAGGCTGAAGCCATCTCCAAGCCCTAGGCAGCACTGTGAGGAGCAGAGTGCATCAGCACTGCACACACCATGCAATTTTAATGCCCTTTCAGTTTCCAAGGATACAAAAAACAATCAATGAGACCCAATCCCTCGCTGCGGGGCTGCTGCACAGGAGCTGTGCCTGTGCCCCAGCCTGGAACAGTGCAGCGATCACAACACTCTGGGGACCTGGAGCACCCAAACCCACAGGCTGTCATCCCCCACCCTCCCAGGTATTACATCCCAGCCACTCTCCCTATGGAGCTGCTCGTTGTTGCAGAGATAAACTGCATCCAAGCAGAGCCCTGGATGCATACACAACCACACAGGCCAGAGACCGGTTACTGAAAACAGTCACGGGCCACACAGCAGGATGACAGGAGTGCTGGGAGCGGGGCTGAGTAACCACATGGAGCAAACAATTTATTAGCTAGTTCCAAAAAACATCCCTGTTAAATTAGGCCTGTCCAGATGTGACACAGAGACAGATTACACTGTTGACAGGGATGTGATTGCACCCATGACCTACTAGCTGATCTGTGCTGCTGTAAAACCCAGGACAGAGGGAAGGCATTAAGCGAATTAGTGTTTATTATTTATACAATGCCCACAGTCAGTCAGGGCGGTGCAGACAAGCGTAAACCAAGGGCGCCACACGGTGCTCTGGAACTGACAGCCCAGCTGACAGCAAGCACTGGGAGCATAATTTAGGACTTTGTGACAAAGTGACGGCCTTAGAGCCTCCAACAGCAGTAGCAGGAGGGGAGGGCAGGCAGGACTGACTGCCAGGAGGCACATGGTGGCACTTCTGTCCCACCTCGGCTTTTGGCTGGGCTAAAGTGCTGTTTGTAGTGGTGGAGTTCCATGACAGAGGGGCAGCCTCTGTCCCTGGGAAACCTGTCTAACCTCCCTCCCCAAACACCTGCCTGTCAGCAAAATGCTTCTAGTGCTCAAGGGAGTGAGTACTGCACACCAAGGCAGTTCCAGCCATGTTGGCTGGGGCTCCAGGGGTGACATCCTGCAGAGGTACCACCAAAACAAAAGCAGTAAAGCAGACACAGGCTTGACAAAGAGTCATGGCTAAGTGATGCTGGCTGTCCCATTAATGGGCCCCCATCAATATAGGAACCCATTATCTAAATGGCTCTCCTACATGAGGTGCCCAAGCACCTTCTGTACCCAACTGAGAGAGGCAGGAACATCTTGAGAGCTATTTATCCCACTCAGCTTGATGGGAGGAACCATCCTCCACTGCTGCTCTGTCCCTTGGCCATAGAGGAACAAAGGGCCCCAGCCCAGAGCAGCTGCCTGACCTCAGATAGATGGAATTGCCCCCACTGCCTGAGCAGGAGGCTCTGGCTCCTTACAAGGAGTTTAACAATGCCACAGAGACGGGGCTGCAAAGCCAGCCAGGATCCCTGTCAATGGGAGAAT